GGGGGGGCGGGTACAGCTGGCTCTGCCTCTAGATAGGCAGAGCCAGCTGTCACTCACGCAGCTGGGTGGATCCAGACAGAATTGTCGGGCTCCGTCCCAGCTGCGGCGGTCTCAGTATACCGCGAGCTGTAACTCTCTATATACTGAGCTTTGGGTGACGGGAGGACGCTAGTTGTGTGTCCTCCCGTTACCCTTAGGAGAACTATGGGGAAAAGCCCTGTCCACATAGTTCTCCTTTAATGTACAACAATCCACACTTATTCATGTACAAAAATATGGTGATCAGGGCAATCAGGGGGGCCGTACATTTCCAAGAGCCATTTGGTAACCAATCGCTGGCCAGAATGGGCGAAGCGCGCTTTCACTATTGATTCCTCACAGGCGGAGTGCATTTGGTATCACTTGGCTTGTCACCGGAGGCGGCGCTATAGAGGAGGCATCGGCTTATGCGGCTCTGCTCCCTCCGGTGCTGTTGCCTCGCTTCCTCTAGCGCCGGCTTCTTTGGCACCGCTGATTCTCTCCCGCGGCTCTTCAAGTTCCCCCCTTATGCCACCACCGGCCCTGGGAATGGTCACAACTAGGTCTTATTTTTGGGGAAACAGGGTATTTGTACAGACTCTAGTCGGGGTCAGGTCTTTTCCCCATAGTTCTCCTTAGGATAACGGGAGGACACAAACTAGCGTCCTCCCGTCACCCTAAGCTCAGTATATAGGGAGCTACAGCTCCTTATATACTGAGACGCCGCAGCCGGAGCGGATCCCGACATCGATGTCGAGATCCGCCCAGCTGCGTGAGTGACAGCTGGCTCTGCCTATCTAGAGGCAGAGCCAGCTGTACCCGCCCCCTCCCCCGCCAGTCAGCGCTGGCGGATCGGAGCGGGGAATCCAGCCCCTCCCCCTGTCACGGCAGAGAGCCGTGACACGATCGAGAGGTGAGCGAACGCCGGTATGTGTTCCCTCACCTCCCGATCTACTGAGCCGACCTGTGACAGTCTCATTGTCACAGCTCGGCTAGAACTATGAGGGGAGTGAAAAGCCCCTCCCCCTCCCCCCCCTCATAGTTCTCCTTTAATAGTCTCTTGTAGATGATCATTTTTATATGCACATATATATCTGATGACCTCAGACCGCAGGCTCACACCTTAACCATCGTCAAAATGGAATATGGAGGACTGCAGCCCGGTTCGGTTAATATGGAGACCGGACACTAGTCCAGCTGCAGTTTAGTTGTGCTATAGTCAATGTGAATGATTAGGTACTTAATGGGCCCTGGCCGTACAATACCAGCGCCAAACTTTTATTTATTCACCGCTGCTCCTTTTACTTACAGGGTTTCCCTTCTCTCCTGCTGGTCCGGGAGGTCCTTGCGACCCAGGACGCCCCGGAAGACCTATTCCTCCAGCTGCTCCAGGAGGACCCCGCTCTCCTGTAGGCCCCTATGACAGAATGTGAAGTAACATTTCAATAAAAAAAAATAAAAGCTGCATGAGGTTACATGAAATAATTGGTGGAAAGCTATGTAGGTTATGGGAAGTAGAAAGCGAGAAGGTTATCTGAAGAAGACACAAAGAACAGTGATTAGCGTTAGTGGTAGACATGAGCACTGCCAAAAAATTTGTTTAGTTTCGTTTCGTTTTAAATTCGTATTTGTGTTATTTCGTTTTTCGGGATTCGTGTGTGAAAGTCAATTCGGATTCGGAATTCGGATTCGGACGAAATTCGGTAGCGGTAGTTCATTTGTTCGTAGCAAAGTGACATTTGAGGGGGAAAATGTTTTTCTCCTCTAATGTCACTTTGCTCCAACGAACGAGCGAACGAAACGAATAAGAAACGAAAACGAAACGAACGTTCGAACGAACTACCGCTAACGAATTTCGGAAACGGAAATTCGGATTCGTTTGACAGACTTCCTCAAGCTGGCGGGAAGTCCCCAATTCATTACATAACTCTGTTCCACAGCAGTGGTGTGCATCCATGATGGTGTCAGGGGTGTCCCCACACCACATGCAGGTACCCACGCAAGAAGACCGAATTCATGTGACCACACTGGATAGGGTATATGCATACAGTTTATTGGTACACAGCAACAGGAAAGCCACAAACCCCACCGACACCCACACGCTAACACAAGCAAGAGAGAAAACTCAAATAGAATGAAAACACACCGGCAGCAAGAGGGAACAGCAAACGGGAAACAGGGCTGGGAACTGCAAAGCAGGTATCAGGGCTCAGGATCCAGGGACTGGTTACAAGGAAGGGTTCAGGGCTGCATACAGGTGTGAGGCTCAGGACTGCAGACGGGTTACAGGTAACGGGTTACAGGGCTCAGGACTGCAGACGGGTAACGGGTTACAGGTAACGGGTTACAGGTAATGGGTTACAGGGCTCAGGACTCAGTCAGGGGAAGGCAACGAAATACTGAGCCGACGTCCTGACTGCAGGGAGGGCCTATATATCCTCCCAGGAAGCACCAGGTGATGGGATGATCACTGGCAGCTGGGGCACACCCGCAGGTGAGTACTGGAGCTGCAGGCTCCAGCACCACCCAGTCCTGGTCTGGTTCCTGACAGTTCCTGGCTGCTGGAGACACCCGCAGCCGAGCACAGGAACCGCATACAGTGTGAGGCTCAGGACTGCAGACGGGTAACGGGTTACAGGGCTCAGGACACAGTCAGGGGAAGGGAACGAAATACTGAGCCGACGTCCTGACTGCAGGGAGGGCCTATATACCCTCCCAGGAAGCACCAGGTGATGGGATGATCATGGGCAGCTGGGAGACACCCGCAGGTGAGTACTGGAGCTGCAGGTTCCAGCACCACCCAGTCCTGGTCTGGTTCCTGGCTGCTGGAGACACCCGCAGCCGAGCGCAGGAACCGCATATAGTGCATACAGGTGTGAGGCTCAGGACTGCAGACGGGTAACTGGTAACTGGTTACAGGTAACGGGTTACAGGGCTCAGGACTCAGTCAGGGGAAGGCAACGAAATACTGAGCCGACGTCCTGACTGCAGGGAGGGCCTACATACCCTCCCAGGAAGCACCAGGTGATGGGATCATCACCGGCAGCTGGGAGACACCCGCAGCCGAGCGCAGGAACCGCAGGACCCCGGCTCCAGTGCCACCTGCGGGTGCTCTGGATTCTGACAGATGTCAGAAAATGAAATCTGCACCATTCTTGGGATAAGAGGAAGCGGGAGATGTGCACCATACGTTTGTTGTATGGTTTTGTGCACAGGGGGACAGCAATGCTGGGGCATTAACAGGACCCTTCACTGTACGCACCTGGACCCAATATCCTGGAGTGGTTTCTATATACTTTTGGGCATATAGGGGATGTGATGGTCGGGTGGTCCTCAAAGGTTTAGTACTATAGAGTAGCTACCAACAGAGCATACTGCCAGACAACAGACACATTACATAAAAGAAACTTGGGAGCGAATTTTAGGAATACGAAGAGCACGGCAGACATTGTCAAAATGAAGACAAAGGAACACAAAAAGACCGTTAGTGAATAACAAGGAAAATCACGCGCAGTTCTGCAAAGCAAACCAATCAGGACTCGGCTTTCAGCAGTAAGCTCAGTCAGGTGACCACTACTCTGTTATTTCAGCGTGCTGCCCCTTCTTGTCTTGTTAATATAACATTTACTAGAAACAATGATTTAGGAACACCTACCGTGGCACCTGCTTGACCAAGTGGACCTTCTCCACCTTTTAACCCAGCTGGACCCTGCAATGGACAGAGTGACAAGAACATATTCCTTATTGCTTCCAAGCTTATGGAGCACATTATTTTCGACCAAGATGTGAGATGTTGATGTGACTTACCGCTTCCCCAGAAATTCCTCTCGCACCTGGAAACCCTCGAAGCCCTTGAGGTCCAGATTTACCTGCATTGCCAGAAGGACCGGGATCTCCCTGTCATATAAAAATGACATTCACAATTTTAACAACACTGACATGTATGAAGGTTAATTTATGAACCTGTATTTGTGGGAGGGGATTATGGCTATTTAAACTCCTCCTCTTCCCTTTCTTGCCTGACGTTGTAGAGGAAGCGTTTGCCTCCCACCCACCCATCCCTCTTCATAACTTAAAGTTCCATCACCTTTTCATTTGGTATGCCCCCTTTTAGGCGTACCTAACAGCGCGGCCACGGGCACACCTCAGGCCACATTAGCTTATTGGCACAACTCAGCCCACACTATATCTATTATACGGTATACACTGAGTGGCCAGATTATTATGACCCCCCCATCAGTACTTGGTTGGGCCGCCTGGTGACTCCGCGAGATGGTGAAAGGTGATGCGAGGAATCTGACACGGCGCTGTTGCCCTTCTGTTGTCTTGTACCGGTCTCGCCCCTCCCCCGTTCTGCCCTAACATTGACTAGTCGCTGGCGGCCACAATTCGCACGCTCAGACCCAGATTTTCGGCTGACAGTCCGGTCTTTAAACACTTTAACAATGAGCCGCTCCTGAACATGTAACGAATTCTGCTGTTTTGCTGATACTCGCTCCATGGCTCCGAGCGCCAACAATCATCCCGCGTTCCAAGGCTGTTACATCGCGTTGTTTCCCCGAATCTTCCCAATCACTTCTACTGTCGTGGTAACCAACCCGCTTCCCTATTTATAATGGTCTGGCCCCCTAGCAACTTCAGCGCCAAATTATAGCTAATTTGCCTACAAACGTCAGGTGGTCATAATAATCCGGCCACTCAGTGTATATAATAATCCGGCCACTCGGTGTATATAATAATCCGGCCACTGAGTGAGTCCATGGTCTGACAATAGAAGCAACTAGGGGGGGTCTGTAGGGAACTAGAAGTATGTCACCACCTAAATTGCATGCCATTGGTTGGGGAAAAGGCATCTGTATGTGTAGGAAGACAGGAAGACCTTCAGACACAATCTGACAACCATTACTAGGGAAGGGTCATCCTCAAAACAGAGGACTTCACCTGTTTGCTGCGCTCTGCTTTTCCCAATAAACACCAATTTGGTAGTCGTTGGAAGGTTGGCGAATTCTTGCTTGTTTATGACCAAACCACCCTTATGCAGCACTTCCTGTCAGCTGAGACAAATAAATGGGCTGAGGGTACACATTTATGTCTACTGTGGCATTGTGTGGCAATACCACGGTATAATGTGGCATCAAAGTCACCCAGGATTGCCAGCAAGAGGGGCCGAGCGGCTCCAGGAAAGTACTGTTACCAGGGACGAGCCGGCTCTAAGACTCTTTCCGGGTTTTCTGTATTATAGTTGTGATCCTGGAGCCAGGAGATTTCTAAGAGAGCTGGGAGGGAAGAAATCTCCATTCCTGGGTCCGGCCTTTAGTGGTGACCGGCACCAAATGATTGCGCACCTGAGCACAGCCCTTATGGCAGGGATGTCCAAACTGCGGCCCTCCAGCTGTGGGGTGGAACTACGAATCCCATGAGGCTTTGCAAGATTCTCACAGCCACTGACATGACTCCCGGAGAGAGAGATGCTTCATGGGATTTGTAGTTTCAGCACAGCTGGAGGGCCGGAGTTTGGACATCCCTGCCTTATAAAGAGGATGCTGGGTCAGGTTCAGGGTTCCAGCTGGAAGACAAAGGAGGTGTCTGTCCAGGAGTCAGGAGGACTCCATCCTGGAACCAGCCTGTGTGGCGTGTCTGCCGGATGCAGCCTATGTGGGGAGGGTTAAAGTGATAACCTGAAGTCGGTGAGACTGTGAAGAATCGTTATTTTGCTGAAATGACAACGCTGAAGTTGTGTTTTGTTGAAGAAACCTTGTGAGGGTCAACTTGTGTGAACCTTTAAATAAAAGTGGGCAGGAAGCCCTAAAAAAAGAACATGTTTGAGAGTGGACTACGTCATTAAAGTGCTGCCATTTGAAGCCAATTCTCACACTACTTAATGGGGAGAAATAAGGAATGGCCAGGTGATCTTTGGGCTGCTTATTTCAGAGTCAGGGGGGGTTTCCCCCCCCCCCCCCCCCCCCCCCCTGGTTTATTGTGAAACACCGTTGCCCGTCTTCCAACATTTGCTACCTTTGCAGCTCTCAGCATTTGTGTGCATGACATCTCAGAGCTGTAAAGGAAGTTTGTCAGGGCCACCAGCCCAACATATACCATTTAGGTACTGGCCCAGAGAGATGCCACCGCTCTCCTCAGCCCAGCCCTTCCCCGCTCAGAGGAGGAGCAGAAATGATCGGAAAGGTTTTTCCAATATGGTCGATCATCTCTCAGCGGTCGTGTGTCTTCCAAAGACACAAACTTGAGATCATCATCACCTGACCTGGTTGGAAAATGTCATCCTTTGGCTAACAACAGCTTTAAACTTTCAAAGAGAACTTCAGTAATGGACATTTTCAGGAACAAATATTTCAATGGATTCATCTTCAGCAAAATTAGGGACAGTTGGCATCTAGTTCCTGTACATTGAATGTCTGTGAAGGTTCTCATTCATCCAGGTCATGGCATATCTTTAAAAAGTAAGTCAAGGCCAGTGGCGGAACTACCGCCGGTGCAACCGGTGCGGGGGCCCGGGGCCTGAGGCTGTGGGGGGGCCCAGTGGGGTCAGGTCCTGGGCACCCCTATAGCCTCAGTGGGGTCCGGTCCTGCAATATGGGGCAGCGCTGTTCCAGGGCAGATCGGCATCGCAAATCGCATGTGCAGGACACCCGTCGTCCCCCGAAACAGCCGATCGGTCCTGAAATGTCACTTCTGTCTGACTTTGTGAGTGCGGTGGAATGTGAGATCGCAGTCGGAGAGAGGTGACATTTCAGGACCGATCAGCTGTTCCAGGGCAGATCGGTTCTCCTGCACATGCGAGTTGCGATGCCGATCTACCCTGGAACAGCTGGGAAAGCGCTGGAATGCTTCACCTATTGGCGGTCACACATTCCATCGCCGACGGACGGGGGAGGGGGCGGGTACAGCTGGCTCTGCCTCTAGATAGGCAGAGCCAGCTGTCAATCATGGAGCTGGGTGGCTCTCGACAGTAATGTCGGGATCCGTCCCGGCTGCGGCGGTCTCAGTATACCGCGAGCTGTAGCTCCCTATATACTGAGCTTAGGGGGACAGGAGGACGCTAGTTTGTGTCCCCCTGTGACTCTAAAGAGAACTATGGGGAAAAACACTGACCCCACAGTTCTCCCTTAATGGGAAAGTATATTACAGCATCATGGTCAACTTTCTTCAATATCATATTCTGCCGGATGCAGTTTATCTTGTAGGCACTGTGACATGATCCAAACCCATAAAATAACAATGTACCTGCATGCACGTTGTGTTCTGTGAAGGAAGTTCTTGCAAGGTCTAGATCCTTGGTTCTCAACTGGAGGGTCGTGACCCAAAACTGTGTGGCGACCCCGTGTTCAGTGGGTCGCCGCGTGCCTTCCACTTTTCTACATGAGAGGCTTCTCTGCCTCCCCCTAGCGCAGTACTGTCCGTTCAGAATATGCTGCCCGGTACCGAGTGTTAGCTTGAGGTTGGGTGGGATGGGGCTATGGCCGCGAGGGAGCTCCATCCATACGTGCATTGCTTACACGTGTGTCAGGCTGGACGGCTGGACCGTGAGTGGAACCCCTTGGCAGGGACGAAAAGCAAAGTGCGAGATCGAGGTATCAAAAGGGCAATCCAAAAGAGTAGTCAAGTCCAGCTCTGGGTCGGGGCAGGCAGCGAGGTTCACGGGCAAAAAGGTCGGTAGCCGGGAGGTCGGATCAATCGCAATAGGCAGGTTGTCACAGGGGGGAGCTGGGTGTTCACCATGAGGTAGAATAACTCAGCAATGAGTCAAGGCTTTGACCAGCTTTATACACACAGGGAAACCCAGGACCACCCTCTGGCTGCCGGGGCAACCAGGAAGCTTCCTCAGTCAGGAGCCAATAGCAGGGCTGAGATGCAGGGGACCTCCCCCAGCCTGAGTAGCACCTGGGACACAGAGTGGGGCAGGCGCACTACGCACGGCTTGCGTACCACGCACGCGTCGCGCATCTCGCGCATGCGCACCGGCAAACCCAGCGCCAGATGCCCTGCCAGGAGGAGGAGGAGCCTGCGCCAGATGCCCGCGCTGGCGAGCCTGGTGGGGAGCGGCCCCCCTGGGTCCCTGACAACGTGTCCTATAGAGCTGCCGGGACCGGAGTGACGTCACATTCTGGTCCCGTCACGTCACAGCAGCCAGCACTGGACCCAAGGCTATTGATCCACTCCAGTTCTAGGAGACCAGAACTCTAGGTAGGGAGACTGGGTGGACCTTACAAAAACTGTAAAAAGAATTTTGGAGTGTGTGAGAGACCGTGTGTGTCTGTCAGTGTTTTTGAGGGCCCATTCACACTAGTACAGTGCGTTAAACTGTATCACGCAATGGCACCGACCGTGCATTCTGGTGTGGGAGGTGTATTGCGTTGCCATTTATTAGAATGGTACCCCAAACACACCTTGCAGCCGCATTTCGTTTGCCTGCACCGTAACGCGCGTTCCATTGCAGTGCGACTCGGGTCGCGGCATGATGGCCGAGGACAAATGTGGGTCCTGAGGTTACACAGGTTAAGAACCTCCGGTCTAGATATTCCAGACTGACGCATTGTACCATACCTTAGCTCCTTCCCGTCCTGCCGGGCCTGGCAATCCATGTTCTCCTGGAGATCCTGGTGACCCCGGTTGACCTCGTTCTCCCATTGGACCAGTCTCCCCTGATTTGCCCTGTACATTATCAAACAAAGATCAGAAGAGCGACCTTGATGTGTAATTACATCAACAATTGTATGTATCCACTTCAGGATTTTGAGAGTAACAGATACCTTCTAAAGAACGTCAACACAGTTTTCAGTTTAAAGCATAGGAATTAAATTGAACCATTAGGGATGGGCACCACACCCCCAATTGGAATTGTATACAAGAAAAGAAAAGCGGGGCTTTAAAAGTGTCCAAACCATACAAGACGTCCATCAAACATACATGGTTTTGTATAAACGTATATTTAATACATACATAAAGACTTGGTTACAATTAAAATGTCATTGACATGATACAATGTTACATTGAAATCAAGCTACCTCCTTTTGGTGCCCATACATGTGTACATATATATATAATTCATTAGTATAACATGGACTCCTTGAGTCCTGATTTCTGTAATAGTTGTATGATCCACTGTGGGCCCCATCTCCGACGCGTTTCGCAGCTGTATGTGCTTCCTCAGGGAGGTTGGAGGTATTTTCATGTTTACAAAGATGGCTGGATCTTTGGCCCCACATGCTGTCTCGCAATCACCAAACAGGTGAGCAGGTGGGAGGTAACCGGGGATAAACAGGACTATTGCAGAAAATCCCATCGTCTGTGTTGTTCAGGATCAGCAGTCTATCTTATCTTAGACTGCTGATCCTGAACAACACAGACGATGGGATTTTCTGCAATAGTCCTGTTTATCCCCGGTTACCTCCCACCTGTTCACCTGTTTGGTGATTGCGAGACAGCATGTGGGGCCAAAGATCCAGCCATCTTTGTGAACATGAAAATACCTCCAACCTCCCTGAGGAAGCACATACAGCTGCGAAACGCGTCGGAGATGGGGCCCACAGTGGATCATACAACTATTACAGAAATCAGGACTCAAGGAGTCCATGTTATACTAATGAATTATATATATATATATACACATGTATGGGCACCAAAAGGAGGTAGTTTGATTTCAATGTAACATTGTATCATGTCAATGACATTTTAATTGTAACCAAGTCTTTATGTATTAAATATACGTTTATACAAAACCATGTATGTTTGATGGACGTCTTGTATGGTTTGGACACTTTTAAAGCCCCGCTTTTCTTTTCTTGTATACAAACACAGTTTTCAGGATGAATCTCTTACATCCAGCTCCTCTCCCCAATGCTGCCCTCCCCCGACCGCTATTAGCGCCAATTATTGGCTGTCAAAATGGCAGCTGACAAATGTTTTGCTTACACAGCAACTAATAAAATGTACAATACTTTAAGCAATTAGTTGCGCTAGGAGAGAAGATGCCTGGTCACCAGCTGCAACAATGTATGTTAAACACTGTTCAATAAGGGCTACTATGTTGCGCTTGGTCTTAATTGTTCTCTCCGGTGTTAACTTCCTCGTATGTATCGTCAACTCTATTATAACAATCTGAGCAATTACACTCGTAGTGATTAATATTTGTATTGGAGGGTTATGGGACGCTGTTTTGTTCCATCCCCCAACCGCCCCCGCCCCTATAATTCCTGCTGATTTTGCCTCTCGGTCACATTGATATCAGTGAACTGCTGGAGCAGTCAGAGAAGGAGATTGCTGGAAGTAAATTGTGGAACTGCCCCCCTCCACCCATAAACACATGCTGGGTGGAGCTCATCATTCAAGCTTTAAGATATCTATCACAGGAACAGTTATTCATTCACTAGATTGTGTATTTGGAACACATTGTACAACACAGAATAAAAATGCTGGACATACCTGAGGCCCAACAACCCCGGTTGGTCCTGGAAGGCCTGTTTTGCCTTGAAAACCCTAAAATGCAAAGATAAAATCTATCAATTACTTCCTAAACAGAAGTCAGTCATACAAATAAAATTGAGGAGTAGGTAAGAATGTGGCTCTTCCATGCCAGGTCTTAATCAGGGAGCATGGAAGTCACGTGTGTTCAAAGCCAGGCCTGGACCAGGATGCATGGAAGACATGTGTGTTCAAAGCCAGGCCTGGACCAGGATGCATGGAAGACGTGTGTTCAAAGCCAAGCCTGGACCAGGAACCATGGAAGACATGTGTGTTCAAAGCCAGGCCTGGACCAGGATGCATGGAAGACATGTGTGTTCAAAGCCAGGCCTGGACCAGGAACCATGGATGTCATGTGTGTTCAAAGCCAAGCCTGGACCAGGAACCATGGAAGACATGTGTGTTCAAAGCCAGGCCTGGACCAGGAACCATGGATGTCATGTGTGTTCAAAGCCAGGCCTGGACCAGGATGCATGGAAGACATGTGTGTTCAAAGCCAGGCCTGGACCAGGAACCATGGATGTCATGTGTGTTCAATACCAGGCCTGACACAAGAGTTATGGAAGACATGTGTGTTCAGTACAGCTTAGTACAGACGAGGCAACAAACTTACTGGCTCTCCTCGTGTGCCGGCATGTCCAGGTAACCCGTCCTTCCCTGAAGGTCCCTGTTGAAGAAATACACAATCAGATCACACAGATAGACATTCATGTAGAAATACCATAACATGGGAGACTGCATGGCCATTGCTTTGATGCATTTCAATGTTGCTGTGTCTGAACTCCAGCTGTATAATGATACCATGTACCTATAACCCAATAATGATCACACCTCACAGTATAATGATACCATGTACCTATATCATGTCATGTCTATGTCATATCTTGTCTTGACTATTGCACCTCCCTCCTCATTGGCCTTCCACTACACAGGCTTCTCCCCCTTCAGTCTATCATGAACGCTGCTGCCAGACTCATTCACCTAACCAACTGCTCTGTGTCTGTATCCCCCCCTCTGCCAATCCCTACACTGGCTTCCATCCTCCCCCCCCCTCTGCCAATCCCTACACTGGCTTCCATCCTCCCCCCCCCTCTGCCAATCCCTACACTGGCTTCCACTCGCCTGGAGGATAAAATTTAAAATATTAACAGTCACTTATAAAGTCATCCACAACTCCGCCCCCGGCTATATCTCAGACCTTGTCTCAAAGTATCACCCTAACCGTCCCCTCCGCTCATCCCAAGACCTCCTGCTTTCCAGCTCCCTTGTCAACTCCTCCCATACTTGCCTCCAGGACTTCTCTAGAGTCTCTCCCATCCTCTGGAACTCTTTACCCCAACCTGTCCGTCTATCTCCCACCTTGACTGCCTTTAGGCGATCCCTAAAGACTCATCTCTTCAGGGAAGCCGATCCCACCTCAACCTAACCACTGAACCTTCACATTCTCACATAATTCATTCCCACAGCTACCTCCTCACTGGCCCCTCCTCTTTTAGATTGTAAGCCCTCAGGGGCGGGGCCCTCCTTACCATCTTGTCTTGAATTGTATTGTGATTGTAATGTCTTCCTTATATTGTACAGCGCTGCGCACACTGTTGGCGCTATATATAAATCCCGTATTATAATAATCTATAACCCGATAATGATCACACCGCACAGTATACAGACAATAATGAGTTACAGGATCAAGCTGTCACTTGCAGGTAATTACTGATTAACTTACAGTGGGTCCTTTGGGTCCTGCGAATCCAAGTGGCCCCGGGGCACCCATTGGTCCCTGGAATCAAAGATAAAAGACTTAAATTGGGACAGCTACAACAACAAATACGTTTTGTGGGATTTGATGACCGTTTATAAACAACAGAAACAATAAAAAAAATAATCATTTAATGAGAATCTTGAATGATGAACCTTTGGTACCCGTAGTCACATAGGATTGGTGTCCCCTGATTTGGCTGGAGAGTTTCGGATGGGGAAACAATCACATTCCTGTGGGTAGCCCCTGACCTGAGCAGATACCCCCCCAACTCCCCCAAGTCAGTAGCCATCCATGAATATTTATGCCATTACTGGTCTACAGAAGGATCCAGCTGTGTTCAGAACTTCCATCTTCCTTCTTATGTCTTTGGGTTCCTTTAAAGCTGAACTCTGGGATCAGCAGACATTGTCCTCATACAAGAGCCATGGGAACACTTCATGAATCTTGGTGAGCTTTGTGTATGTCTTCCAGATCTGTGCAGTAATCCAGTGTGAGACTTGGAGCTTCCTGTAATAAAGACCGGTCACTGCTGCTCTCTCTCCTTGTGCAGGGTGACTGGTCTTGTTTCCGCCCCCTCCTGTAATAAAGACCGGTCATTGGTGCTCTCTCCTTGTGCAGGGTGACTGGTCTTGTCTCCGCCCCCCTCCTGTAATAAAGACCGGTCACTGCTACTCTGTCCTTGTGCAGGGTGACTGGTCTTGTCTCTGCCCCCTCCTGTAATAAAGACCGGTCACTGCTACTCTGTCCTTGTGCAGGGTGACTGGTCTTGTCTCTGCCCCCTCCTGTAATAAAGACCGGTCACTGCTACTCTGTCCTTGTGCAGGGTGACTGGTCTTGTCTCCGCCCCCTCCTGTAATAAAGACCGCTCACTGTTGCTCTCTCCTTGTGCAGGATGACTGGTCTTGTCTCCGCCCCCTCCTGTAATAAAGACCGGTCACTGCTGCTCTTAGGGTGACTGGTCACTGCCATTAACGCTGGCACTGCTGGTTACTGACCAGTAACGCCCTTACCACACGGATTAATATGAGAAAGCACTTCCCTGAGTCCATTCAAGTTTCTCATTATATCACAGGCCCTGATGAAGGGGGATTATCTTTTGCCCCCAAAATGCATTGGTTGTTTTTTAATCTGTGAACTAACAAAGCGATGTGGGGTCTCTTTTATTATTCTGTCTTCTGTTGGCGTTTGCCTTGTATCATTTTCTGGGTACCCATTGGAGGGTCGCACCGTTGTGTCGTGCGCTGCCTACCCAGAACCAGTGAGCACTTTGAATAATTGTCCTCTTTCACTGCCGGATATGAATGTGGATCGAAACACCATCGCCTCTCGGAAGTTGGAGTCTTTTGGAAGCACTTCTA